GCTGCCTCTGAATCCCTAGAAAAAAAAAGTTTGTTTCTATTTGTCTCGGTCCTCTTGGCCCCGGAGACCTGGTCCTGCCACAGCTTTTTCCAATCTAAGTCTGCTCCAAAACGACCCTCCAGCCTCCCATGGTCACACTTTCGGTGCCCACCCCTGCTTCCGGCTCGGTGAGGGCCTCAGGGAGCACGACCGCGACATTGTGAGCCACCGCCAGAGGGGTTCGTATGTTGCTGTAGCTTGCGGTTCCACTGATGCATGTGTTCGAGCAGCATGGAGCAGTGGCCGCGTCTGTTGCCTGCAGGTTCGTGCTGCGACGAAGAAGCGCAATAGGTTGCGGCTCCAGTGATGCATGTGTTCGAGCAGCATCGAGCAGTGGAAGCGTCTGTTGCCTGCAGGTTCGTGCTGAGACGAAGAAGCGCAAGGTTCCCGCACCTGTAATCCCTCGCGCGCTCCCCCTCCTTCAGCCGGGGTCGGCGGATATAGATAAAATACAATGCATGTTCATATTTCAGTGTATGAGAAACGTGGAAAGCGTGGGACCTGACAGCGTCCCTTTCTGATATATTTGCACGGCACCAAAATCCAACCTCGTAGAACTTCGCGTGTGTGCCGGACATGTGTTTCGTTTTTTGGTAACCATCATGCAACCGGCCCCCACCAGCGCAGGTGTTGTTCCCCACTGCTGCGAACAGCTCCTTGGAGTTCCTGTCCGTCACGACCATGAGCGCCTTGGCAGGGGACGCCGCGACAAGTCAATCGCAACTCCTGGAGGCGCGGAGGGGCCGGCGGGACCGCCGTTTCGGCGGCGACCATGGGATCCGCAGATGGCCCTTTACAGTCTTGTTCCTGGTTGGTTGAGTGATGTTGAGTGATAGGCAGGGTACGTGCCCGCAAGGCCCCCCAGTGCACAAGCGACAGAAGGTACCAAACCGACCCGGGCGAGGATGCATCCATAGACCCCAGATGGAAACCTGACTCATGATAGTGGTTCCCTCATACTTCAAACCGTAATGATTAATGATGTATCGATCCGCAATGTTTTCTGGTGTGAGTGCTTTAATGCGTGGTGGGTCAGGTAATTTCTGGTTGGTGTGAAAGGTCCACAGCGGAAGTGGATGGTTGTATTTATGTCTTGCTTTGCACGCGTGGGGTTCGGAGCAAAGCAGACGTCAGAACCGTTAGAAACCTCCCGGAATCCCCTACAATATCAACAGTGATACTCTGAGCACCCCAACCAAGAAAACCGGTTGAAACATATTGAAACACTGGTGTTGGAATGCCTTGGACGCAACCTTGCCTCCTTGGGCTGCCTCATCTCCACTCATCAGGATCCAAAGGGCCATTTTGTTTGGTACTTTGACAGGTTCAAGGTGGAATCTCCAGCACCTGGTCACCACATGGAGCCAAGAATTCATTCGTGTTACTCGACTCAATGGAGCCAAGAAGCCGTCATCGTTTGCAAGCAGAGCACGACGTTACTTTTGTGGTCCGAACCACTCTTGAGAGGACCCAACACTCTCGGGACACCTTCGGGGCAGGCTTGGAGCAACATCCAGAGAGTGCTTCGAAGCCTGGAGATGGAGGATTATGAACTCAAGGTGGGCAGAGACCGCCCATGTCAACTTGAGAGCTGAGACAGCAGAAGGCACTGCGCACGGCGTTCGATGTATTTATGCCGTATGCTGGACTCCGATGGATTGGTGATGATAGTTGCGATTGACACCTGTTTGTGTCCAAGTTGAGAAGCAACAACGACCATTGTTTGGCCGATGTTGAGGGGTCCAGCTCCAAGTTCCTTCAACATTAAAGTGAAGGTGATAATTCTGGGGCTCTGGCGCTTATATATATATACTTTGTTTCAGGGCAAGATTAGGGCACAAGCCTCCCACAGTGTTTTCGTTTAGGTCCCGGTGAGAGTAAAAACAGGACTGGCACCTACTGCAGCACACCGAAGGAAAACACAGTAACAACATAGAACGGCAATTCAACATCATATAACATCGACTACTTTGACAATCCTGTAGACACTGTAGAATGAAGGTTGAAGTCGATGAGTCCTGCCAGGGCTTCCTCCAAGAGCTCTTCATTGCCCAAGACGTCGCGCTGCCCTGGGCTGACCTGAGCCGACGGCTGCGGCGGCGACGTCGCGGGTTATTGGGACAACTGGCAAGCTTGGGTACCTGAAAGAGCGCTTGTGGAGTTCATCTGACAGGCAGGCGCGGCAAGACGGACCTCTAAGTCTCTAAGTGTTTGTTTGTTTCGGAAATATATAAATATCTATAATTACTCACAAACAAGGTCTTTAGACACGTGAGCGCTATGAGTGTCAGCAAGCCTTGGAAAAAAACAACAACAGAAAAAGAATCAAAAGACTACTAGCAGTTGCTGGCGTGACTGATGGATATGAATCCCAATATAGCTGACAATGCTATGGATGCTATCAGGGTGAGGCCTAGGCCTAGATTGATCCATCCATACCCGTCCCTGTATACATAGTACTGTCTTAGATGTTTTCTGTAAATACATTGAGTTGGACTAGGGCGGATTCCAAACACTCCCAGATCAGCCGAATGGTATCGGAAGCGGTCTCAGATGTTTTTGTTTTCTCATCCTGAAGCTGTTTAGCACCATCTTTGGGGGATGTCCACCACTCGGAGAAGGTGTCACCAGTCCTCAGCGGCTTCAGGAGTTGTGGTCGTTTACAACAGCACCCGTGCAGCGGTTGTTTGCCTTCCACGAAGGCAGCAGGTTTCCAGGGACGGCTTGATGCAGCATGATGCAATGTTGGGTGAGCTTCCAGAACAACCAGCACGTCCACCCTTTGAGGAACGTTTTGGCACAGCTCCGTGCCCTACAGGAGTTCTCCGATCTGCAGGAGGTCAGTTCAGTGATTCACCCTGAGTGCTGGACCGGTGAAGGCTTTGAGGGTCACAACCCCCCAAGGCTTGCAGGGTCACAACAGCGCTGCGCTTTTCCAGCTAAGGCTGTCGTTGTCATAGCAACCAAACCAAGCTCGGAAGAATGAATAATGACGTGCAGACCAAAAAGTTTTGCGCGGCCGACGGAGATTGAAAAAGCGGCTGATGTCAGGTTCGTGACCTATCGTAGTAATACACCCTTGCAGACGAACATCTAGAACCTGAAACCACTGGTCTTGTAGGGGAACATGCACTTCCCGAAACGTTTGTTTTCAGGCTCTAATTATGTCAGACAGTGAGGGTGTGCTGTAACCCACAAGCCGGACTCGGACTTGTTGAAGAGTCCTCAGTTCTTGTGGGGTCGGCAGAGCCCCCCAGTAGATGCCCATCTTGCTTTACTGTACATGATCATGCGGTTCCACCTCACCGAAATCAGTTTACATCTAGTCCCGGCTGATGGGGATCCCATAGTTGGATCATACTTAGATACTAAGAATCATAGTAGATCATGCTATTTAAATACTAAGATCATGCTTCAATAGATGCTAAGAACGTGTATCGTCCCCAGAAGGACCGTCCTTTGCGGCTCTCGCCTCTTCCAGGGCGCCTTCCGCCGGGTGACGTGCGGACGAGCGCTGTTTTCCAAAGAGCAGCGGTCCATGGAGAAGAAAGGACGTGCCGCAGCATGAATACCAGGAGAGGTCAGTGGTGACCTGAACTAGGACCCGTCACTTGGGGTACCGAACTGGGATAGCCTAGTTTGGGTTCTTCAACCTCTGTTGGAATATTTGACAAGATGACAAGATTGAAGAAAGAGAGACCCCTCGGCGACCCCAGCCAAGGTTTGGGGCATGGTTGGAGTTTGGTCATATGTTCCTTCACATGATGTTGGGGCAGCATTGGGGCACACATGAGGTTTCATATTGTATTTGTCGGGTTGGCCAGCCTGTTGCCCAAGTGCAGCAGCTCACTAACCCTCCTCCCCTCCTTGCCTTGTTGCGGGCACATGTGAGAGAAGTGCAGGCAGCTGAAAAGAGGTGGTCAAGCTGCTTTTGCAACCCCTTGTTTGGCCCAAGTGCCTGAATTGTTGGAGTTTGGTCGCCTGCCAGCTTTGCAGAGTTGTACCTGCAAGCTGGCTTGGCCTTGCTTGTCTACCATTGCGTGGAAAGTGCGCGAGGTGTGTGTGTGGAGGGTTTCTAGGGTCCAAGTTTGATTGGAGCTGAACTCTCCCTCGGAAGAAAGCCAATTCCTGGAGTGGTGAAGTGGTTTCCACAGTGAACGGTCAATGATCAGGGTGATGATCAGGGTGTTGACCTGTTATTATGACTTGGGAAAACCGCCCCGGCAACTACCAATGTCATTGGTACCAACAAGTCCTAAGTCATTGGTCCTCAGTATATGTGTTTCCTACGACGAGGCCGGGCATGTGTTCCATGTTCGTGTTCTTGCACACTGACCGCATCCGTGCACAGACTGACTTAGAAAGTGCTCCTCTCAACAGTTCAGCCTTACATCAACAGTCAGACGGACGGTCTTTTTGGGCGCTACGGTACTGCTGTATGTGGTGTGGTGTGCCGCAGCTGTCTTGACTCGCAATGAAGTGGCTAGAGATGTATATATATATATATATTTATTTATTTATATTTATTTATTTAGACGTTGCTTCTCAATTGGGGGGTCAGGGGCCAAGTGTCCCACCAACTCGAGATCCACACACCACGCACCTACTGTAAATAGGAGTGCCACCTAAACGGCTCAAGAATAAAGAGTTTGAAGCATCTTCGAAGCCTTGACACACCGGGTCTGAAAGATGTGGTGCAATATGTGGTGGCCACTAAGACTAAGACTTGGGGAAGTGTATTTAGGGGGTATCGGGGTATCCCTCAAGTGTTCCATTGTGAGACTATTGCCCAGACACTCCATGTATGGCATATATGCCTACATTGACCCCTGAAACCACCCCAATGTAGGCAAATATTGCATACATGGAGTGTTTGGGTTGATGATTGATGCTTTATCTATTTCACCACCTGTCCCAATGATGGCCACCAGCCACGGCCTGCGGCGGCAAAACCGGCCATCATGACAGCTGATGCGAGTCAGAGTGAAATCTCGAGCTCGACGCTTGCCCACGACTCACAAGCGGAAGGTTTATTTTTGTGATTGCTATTGTCTTGTCCAGATCTTCACTACATTTCACAACTATACAGAACCACCGCTGATGTTTCTCATGGGATCACATGAACAACAAGGGGTTTCCAAGGGTTTCTCGATTCCTCGTGTCCCCTTCATAAAGTTGGTCATTCCGACCTCGGGGATCCCCAAGAGCATTGGAGAACCTACCCGCAATGCGCTGACTGATTCTCGACTCAGACAGTAGCATACAGTACTGTGGCAGCCACCGTGGTTTTCTACGAAGCTGGGCTGCCTAAGAGTCCTAAGAGAGTTCCCTATAGTAAGCCAGCTGTGGCTGTGTCCTGCATCGAAATCAGGACTCCGCATGGAAGTCGGGGACTGGAAGTCACCTTGGTGGTCAATGGCCTCAGTGGACACCTTTGTGAAGTCCAGGTGCAAAAAGATTGGCCCTTGAGGCGCGTTCCCAAAGGAAAAAGAGAGTAGAGAATAGTCTAGTTGCCCGGAAGCTTCCGAAGTGTGGTTTCAAATCTTCATTGACTGGGTTTAAGGGACAAGCGTGGATTAGGGAATGGCTATGGTAGCGGCTGCGGCTATGTTTTGGAGACGGCCAGGCAAGCAAGTAGATCCAAAGGGTTGAGTACCAGCCAGTTAGATGATGAAACCGAGGAAGCCTCACGCGAAACAGTTTGCTGCAGAAAACCTCAATTCGATTCAGCTCGCCCATGGTGGCCGCTTTCTTTTTTCCCGGAAGCCTGCAGTTGGATGGGAATAGAGCATTCTTTCAGGACCCTCACTTCCACTTCCACTAAAAGTGATTTTGGTGGAGAATCGCCTTGACAGACCTTTTGCAATACAACATGAGCTCTCTGAACATCCTTTATTCAGGTATGTGGGGGAGCAAGGAAGAAACTTGCTTTAGCCAAAGAGGTTTGTGCCACATTCGTGATTGGACCCACTTTGTAAAGCATGCAACAACCATTTGTTCAGGACCTTGCAGCATCCGATTGTAACTAATTGTAACTGCTATACCTGCACTTTCTGCCGGGCAGTTGCGTCGTGGCCATGGACAAAGCGCTCGCACTCTAGGCGGCTGAAAGAGGCCATTGCCAAGGAGACGGGTATCCAGCCAAAGTGCCAGCAGCTCTTGCACGGGAGGCAACTCTCTCCCGCGCGTGGAGTGGGGGAAACCAGGTGAGGTGACGGGCGGTGAGGTGACGGTGGGGTTAATGATATAAAGGCCGCGTGAGAGAAATTGCAGTGTTGGTTCTCGACACGTGTTTCCAAGTACAGAAGTTTATAGTACTTAGTAGCCTAAGGTCCTGAAAGCTCGACCCTTCCTCGTGACGATCAAGGTGAGCATGATGAGCCGATGAGCCCATTATACATGAGCCACATCAAATCCATTGGCTTCTAGGTCATGCAGGCCATTTCTTTTTGAGCAAGCGGGCGGGACCGCCTAGGACTTAGGTGAGGCTCAATCCTCAGGTATATTGCCCGATTTGCGTGCTGCAGGCAGGTACTTCTGCACGATCAACAACTTTTGGTATGTCTCTTGACTGCAGGATGCTGTAGGCCTGTATTTGGAGCCCATGCAGTCGTTATTTTCGGGGCGCACAACGGCATGTGACTTCTGTTTTTTTGCAGGGAGGCAGAGAGGCCAACATCCTTTGCCCGTATATTTTCCATAAAGCTCTGCCAGGTTTCAGGAGATATCAGAAAGATGTCAACGCAAAACTACCTTAGATGTATAATTATACTTATTTGTCTTTCAACATGCAAGACCAGCAACAGCCCCGCGGCCTCAACTTCAGATGCAAGGTGGCAGGCTGAGCTTCATTGAAACAATCTCGCTGCTGTTTCTCCTCACCGGCTGCAGAAATCATGTGGTGTTTTCCAAACAGAGAGATTCAGACTGTTGTTTCATGGGGGTGCTGACATTAGGGGTGCCAAGCACCAACATATTTCACAAGTCCTCTCGTGGTACATATATATAGAGTTGTGTAGGAGCAATGATATCAGACATGGCCAAGGCGGCCGAACCTAGAACACCTTTTTGCTTACTTGGTCATCTTGGTCATTTTAAATCTTCTAAAACCATCAGAACCCGGGGACTTCCAAAAGGCTATGGATCACAAGCGATCGATCTGGGTTTGATGCCACAGCTTCCACGTCAGTGGCTGCATGCAGCGTGCGCTGCTGCGCCCGCTGGCCGCAGGCTGAGAGTGCTACATTGGATGCTTGTTTCACACAATGAGATACCCTCCGTCCAACCATGTTGGACGTGGAACACCTGTAGTGGGCCACATGCAACTTCCATGATTCTGGGATGGCCAGCAGCAAGAGCTTGTGATACTTTCGGGGTTGATGGAGTGATGGTGGTGTAGCAATGGGACGGACCACTTGGTGAAAACGAATGGAGGTATCATTCAGCGTGATGCAACGGATCCCGCACCGTCGGTGTTCAGGCTGAAGTGAGCAACTCGATCGGTGTTCAGGCTGAAACTACACGGTCGAACTCAACATAAAGGTTGGAGCAGGCTTAGCTTGGCCCGCAAAGCGGGCCTCCTATAGGGCCTCCGGCCCGTCAATGTTCTTCTTGCTCATTTGGCACAAATCACCAGCATCTCCAGAAAGTGAAACCACGGCTCACTCTTTGATTCGACCAAGCATCGTTTCCCAGGTGCTCGCAGTCGTCACTGCGAAGTCTCGGCTGGTGTTTTCAAGTTCACCGACATGATCGTACAACCATCCAACCAAGCTCCTAGTAGCTTCTTTGCTCCTAGTAGTACGGCCAGGAGCCCCTAGTAAGCGTCCTTGCTCCTAGTAGCGATGCCAGGAGCCCCTAGTAGCGAACATTGTTCATTGTTCCTGCCTAATTTGGTCGGGCTTGGGGGGGGGGCGATGTCAAGAACAGACACAGCCTGCCGGAAAGACACCCACATATTTTAAAGCGTACTGAGGGATGAAGCATTGTGAGGTCAGTTGTGAGGTTTGTGAGTTTGTTTGGTCTTGGTGGTGTCATACGTGTCCGCCTCAGGAATATCCTGGCGGATTGCTTGGCCAAGAGTGCTCCCCTCCTCAGCTTGAAGAAGGGCTTCCGGTGTGATCCTGAGCACTTGAAATGGGAGCGGAGGAGGACACAGTTCAAGCAGGACAGGACAACGCAGTTCGGTTTGTATTGTCCGGTTTCGGAGCATTCTGCGCTTCACGATCCGGCCAGAGTCAAAGAACATGGATTCATACTTGCCCGGAGGGTGGTTAGCTTTCACTTACAACCTAAGTTATAACTACCCCTCACATACTTATAAGCTTTGTTATAAGTTTGCTAACCTGTGTAAGGTTTAGCTTCGAATTAGCTTTCACTTAGCTACGCCTATAGGACTTATAAACACTTAGGTGTGACTTAGCTAAGTCAAAGCTAAGTCCAAACTAAGTCCGACCATCCGACCTAAGTCCAAGCTAGGTCCAAGCTTGAAAACAAAAATACTTGAGTATGTGTCTTTTAAGAAAATACATTGCTCAACACATGGGGCTTTGCTGTGCTCGCTTTTCTCACGATATCTGTTTACATGCCGGCTTGGCCGCGCTGATTTTCTTTTGTTTGTGTTGTTTGTATTTTTGTAATCAACAAGCTCAATTATTGGGCTCGGAGTTGTTGCCAGAAAGTAATTGCAAATGTCAGCTTCTAGTAAAGAAAGTAAATGTCAGAAAGACGTTGTCAAAAATGTTTATGACAGCTTTCAGTAGAGAAAGTAATTGCCAGAAAGACTGTCATAATTTTTATGACAACTTTCAATAACAAAAGTAAATGTCAGACAGATTCTGTCGTAATTTTTATGACAGGTTTTAGTATAGAAAGTAAGTGTGGGAGATAATCTGTCGTTATTTGTATGACAACATTCAAAAGAGAAAGTAAATGTCAAAGATAATTTGTCGTAATTTTAATGACAAATGTGAAAATACAAGGTACTTGTCAGAAACAATCTGTCGTAATATTTATGATGCAGTTTTGTAAACATCCAGAATTAGATAAAATATGTAATATATTTTAGATAGTAGTTGTTGCTGCAGCTTCTTTGCTTGAAAAACGTAACTTGTATTTAACAAATATATGATATTATAAGTCAAAGCTAAGTCCAAGCTATATAACTCTAAGCTAAGTCAAAGCTAACTCAAAGCTAAGTCCAAGCTAAGCCAATGTTAAGTCCACTGAACTAAGTCCAAGCTAAGTCGAAGCTAAGTACTTATAAGTTATAAGTACTTATAACTTCAACTTAGACTTAGCCCAGCTTAGCTAACGACCGTCCGGGCAAGTATATTATTTCTATTTTTTTTTTCGCAAGGTCGTGTTGCCACCACCATGCACGATGCCTTTTGTTTTGATGGACACGAACGGGGTTCCACTTCGTGCACCTAGCAGCCCACATGGACACGTTCTACATCTTCGTGCATCGTCAGTGATACCCAGCAGTCACCACTCTAGTGACCCCAGTGTCACTTGTATGTATATATATAAATATATATTACACCACACACATGCACATATATAAATATATGTATATACATCCTCACAAAATGTGGCCTCTTGGGAGGATACGCGAGGAGGATACATGTGGACTCTTGATAGCTCTTGATGGAGAACCCCGCTTGTGATTCAGAACGATGGCCACACACATATTTAACAGTCCTTTTGTCTCAGGGTGTGCTCTGACCCACCAATCAAGCAGACCATATGCAGTCGAAGTAAAGTTGCCCGCCCGTGGAAACCTTTAACTTTTTGAGGATTTGCTCCTCTATCCACCGGTGGAGAGAGGTTAATGGTTCAGTCAAGGGGAATATGTGTTGACTTTCTTTTCTGTACTACCCTTCACTTAGCACAGATGAGCAGTAGTAGATCAAAAAGAACGATTCAAGTTGAGCAGTCAACAGCATGTTCAATAGGGTTTGATACCCGTGCGGCTCGGTGCTTAGACGGCCTGCTTGTTTAGCGGTTGATCTTATACTAGTTGCTTCGCGTCGGGCCATGCACCAGCTAGAAATCTAGCTGGGAGTGACAAGCTCCAATGACTAGAAGCTTTGAGAGCATCAGCGTGAGAGCATCCTTAACATGCGATACAGGCGATACATCCGCTGCAGTGCATCACCCTCACTCTTCGCAGATGTGCCCTGGTCTGGTTAGGTCCAACGAATTGCTGGGGACACACCCACCCGGTATTCCATGACATTGAGGCTGTCCACCACCGGCTTTTCTGAGTCGAACTCAAGGGCAGAGAGTGGCAACCACTGCGTGTTTCGGATGTTTGCCAGCTTGCGCCCGGTGCAAGAAACTTCCAGTTGGTGCTTTGCAGCCATGGTTTGGAGAACTTGGTGGCAAGCTTTGCTTTCCAAACCTCTCCGTGTTTGTGAGGACACGGGGGGCCACCCCACCACACGAACTGACAAGTCTAGAAGGGCCAAAACAACATCAGCACATGTTCGAAAACAACATCAGCACATGTTCGAAATCCTATGGGCCTATGGATGTGGATTCACAATCACAACCATTCTGTGGTGACAAGGATGTCCAGTTCACACTGGAATCGCCAGCAACCACACTTAGTCCATCTATTTTACTAGGATGTTTGCGTCCACGGTGCCAGCCAAGCGGCTGTGCATTTTAATATAGGCACCTCCTAGCCAACGGGTAGACTATGGTAGACTGGTCTAGCTTTCTTCTTCTAGGAGGTCGAACTTGGAGGTCTCCCAAATTATTGATACATACTAAAAGAGGGCACTACAAGACACAATCTGGAAAGACCTTGGCCCGCAGCTGCGCCATAAACCTTTGTTGTTGTTGTTGTTGTTGCTATTATGCCGGAAGGTTGTCCAAGACGAACATAGACATGGCGTATCTCCAAAACTTTATCCAGCTCTTTCTTCTGCCGGAGTTGCCAATTCAGACGAGCCACCGACCCTGTCAATATGATGAAGAAGTCATTGCCAAGAAAGCATGCTACGGACAGAGCATCAGTGGAGCAGGACCAGTTCGACCCATGGAAAAAGCGTACAGGAGGCCATTCCCGAAGTCCAGCGTCCAGCGTCCAATGCTTTCAACTCCATTTGCCCAGTTGCCCTTGACGTCATGCATTGAAACGATTGCAAGCCACGCCCAATCAAAGGCTTTGAGGTTACTTTTTGCGTGCGCGGCGCATGTGGGGCATTCGTGCAAGGAAGAACGGCATGGTTTTTATGTGCTGTCGGCGTGGACTGGAGAATTGCAGCCGTCAAGAGCACCATGCATCATGCGCATGTTGTTTCTTGAAGCGGACCCCAACTCACCTCACACACTGCCCACCCCACAGCCCCTGGCTGCCAGATAGGCCAGATAGGGCCTTTCAATATCTTTCAATTTGCTTAGCTTGTCTCTTTGCGGTAATCTTTGGCCGGTGGTTTCTTCCAGCCTTCAAATTTTTAAACTTTAAGTTTGCTTTTTAAGATTCAATCCTTGGAAGGAGCTTGAGGCGTATCAGCCGGACCTCTTTGGGCTGTGTGAGGTGGATCGCTTTGAGGATCTCCAGGCCGACTTCGCCCAGCTTGGTTTCCAAGGCACTTTCAAACGGAAGCGCCACTTGGCGGTGGTTTTCAGGCCTGGGGCATGGGGCGCACTATGCGTGATCATTTGGTTCCTGGGCAGGGAGATGTCGACCTGGGAGGTGTCGAAGAAACAAGGAAGGGAAGTGGAGGCTGAAGACACCAGGACCGTGTTGACTTCAAAATCCACCCAACCGTTGAAGTTTTCACCCCGTTTTCGCCAGCAAACCCACGCGGCCGTGGATTTTAATAGCCTCGTTGTGTCGCTTGTTGTGCAAAGACAGAACGTTCTGGGGAAAATTTGGCAACACTTCGGAACACACGCAGAACCAGTTCAGAAGGTTTCCAATTGAGAAAGTACATCACTTCGACCTGTCCCGTCCCCACCCGTCCAGATGTATTTAGGTGAGGTCGGGCTGACTTGCGACGGCCGCGATGTGTGGTGGTTACGCCGACTGTGTGGTCCTTTACAGCGTTGTGGGCCGCTGTCGTGGGTTCTTCCTGGTGTGCTGTCAAATATTACATGGTTGCGGCTACTTGTTGTATATTTTTGTGTTGTTGTTTTTTTTTGTGGTCGGGCCCGTGGCAGGATGTGCTGTGGTTGGGTTTTGCATTGTCAGAGTGTGTTGTATGTTTCAGTATGTTGATTCTCGTTTGTTGTCGCGTTTTGGTGGGTGTTTGTTTGGTTTTGTTGTCATTGCGCGTTGTCAGTTTCACGGTTTGTTGTTTGCGTTTGTCATTGCACTGGGTGATGCGCTGCAGCGATCACTGCAGGGTGGGTAGTTGACGGCCCAAAACTCACTACCCCCAATCCTGTCGGGCGGGGGTGGGACCCACATCACCAGACCTCGGTCCATGTACCACACGATCAGGAAGTCCGGCCAAAGATGGTGTCGCCGCCTTTTGGAGGCGGGGCACGTTGGACGAAGGCTTGCGGAGATCCATCTTCTTGGAGCCCCTGGGCTGCTGGGCTCGGCGGATCGGCCTGGCAAAGAGGAGGTGCAGTAGGGCGGAGTTTCCAACGCTTCTGGTGGGTGCAGGGCATAACGAAGCATCCACTGGAACTGGATGTTTCTAGTCACTAGTCTACTTGTCCAACTGAAGGATTACATCCGCAATTGTGGGGGGCCAATGCACAAAAGGATCTCCATGATAATTACGTTAGATTGCACCAATCCCATCCCACTCTGTAAAACATATTCTTTCCTCAAGTGAAGTGCTCACCCTCAGTCAATTCGTGAGGTTGCTTTGCAACAATCAAGGGGTTATACCCCATGCAGCGTTGAAAGAGTGCTGAAGCGCACATAATTAGTGTTCCCCCCGCCAACCGGCAGCTATTTGGAAACTGGATCTGGAACTCCTGCCCCCCACCTGCCAACCACAAAGCTGCTTGGAACTGGATCGGAACTGGACGATATTCCCCCTGGCCCCCACCTGCCACAAGCTGCTTGGAACTGGACCACCGGGGTACTCTGGAAGTGCAAGGTCACAGACAGCCCCTGCTGCACCGGCACCCGCTTTGAGGTATGGCCGGCAGCGCACGAAGGCGGCACAGGTGGCACTCCTGCAACGGCTTTGGCCACCTGACCGGCGACATGGGAAGGCGACGTTGCCGTTGATGGCGGATGGTGGGGCACGGGGGCCGGCATAATGGGGTCGGGTGGTGAGCTAGCCAGGTGCTAGTACAGAAAAGAGTGGGTTGGGTTTATGTATATAGAATTATGAATATAGATATATACATATGTAGAAGTCCTCAAATCGTTAAGGAGCATCTAGGTGTCTATAGACATGTATATATATATATATGGTGTTTGGAGAGAGGGGGCACAACACCATGGAGGCTGTGAATTCATGACTGTTAGTCCAGTAAATCCTGTGCCAAGAGGGAGGTGTTTACAGGCCTATGTAAGTGTTTGCCTTGAATTGCAGGATTTGGGTTGTGCTTTTTCCCGGTGGAATCCACAAACACCCTGCTTGGACTGAAAATGAACAATTGTTTCGAAGTAGGCATCATTGGCATATCCACCAAAAATGATGTTGCACCAAAGCCTCCGCACGCAGAAATATTGCTTTGCTTGTCAATTTGATGCCCAGGAACGACATCTGAGGGAATCCCGCAAGCATTGTCGAGTTCACAGAATCACTCAGCCAAATTAAAGCAAGGATGATCATTTGGTTTCACAGCCAGCGTTGAACTCGAACTCGCCAGGGATTGGTCTTGTGCACTGCCCACTTGCGTGCCTCTGCAGACGAAGGCTTTCGTGGCTTGGGCTGTGTGGATTTCGTAGACGAGGGCTGTGGAACTTGAGCAAACGCACCAGAAAACACATTTTTGCGGACGCGTTTGACCACATCGAATAATGATGTCAACAACCAGTTTGCCATATATTCGGCGGGTTCCCGGGTGCAACCGATTTTACTGTTTGCCAAGCCTCAATTTCGCAACACTGCGTCCCCTATTCTATCCAAGAATATAGTTGCTCATTAGAGACCTGCAACCTAACAGACTCACCCAGAAAGCTATACAATAATTTTGGGATGTTCTGGGATTGCTTGGGAATTGCACTATTGAGCATAGCCAAGGCAACCACTTTGGTCCATATCTTCCACCATCATCCACCTAGATCGATTTACACCCACCGCATCGGCACGGCGTGCAAACACACACGCTCACACATAATGAACAGCTGAGAACAGCTGAGGGGGCCATATTGAACAGCAATCAGTGAGTTTCTTCCCTCACTTTGGCATCACAACATCCACTTCTTTTGGACCTTTGGCCCGCCGTTCCCTCATTCTGACTCTGGCCCCGATTGATGACTCTGACTCGCGGAGACCCCTGTCACAGATTGAAGGAATTTTTCCTTGATCATCCCTTCACCCCGCAAAAAGACCAGGCAATGCTTCAATTTCCACGAGACTCGTCATTGTTGCGTGTTTGCCAGGTGGACCCACTGAACAAGAATTTTTCGCTCAGGAAGTCAAGAGCAGCCCTTGAACCATGACTTTGAAGTGTCAATTTGCACAGCGAAACTCGCATGAGGAATGCAACAAGCATCCGAGCTGGTCACCGCCGTCACAGACTTTGCCCGACAAGACGAGCAGATCATTCTAGCGGATGTGACACCTGGCACCACCTGGACAGGAGAGAGATATGGAAAGGTAGAGGCAGATGAGGCAGGGTGGTGCCAGTGAATTGGCACCTCAAAAGGGCAAGAAACCAGTCATTTGCCACATGTTCTTGGCGAGCCGCAGCTATTTACCTTCCAAGGGTGATTCTATAGTTGGATTGGTTGAGTGTAAAGAAGGTTTTGGTTGTGGCCGGTTTCCTGAAATCGTCGGGGCAAGCTGCTTGAGGTCGTTTGGAAGTTTAGAGCCGGATTGGATTGGGAAAACGACCGTTTGGAGGCATTGAACGAAACATTTAGATCACAATAGATCACAGAAAACAACCAAGTCAAAGGTGTCCAAGGCCATCGTCTCTATGGAAAAAAAACGGGAGGTTGGAGTTCCAGCAACTGGGCCACCAAGGAATAGCAACTCCACTGAAGGGGAGCAGCGTTTCACGGATGCAAGCACCTTTGGATAGACTTGAGATGGGACGAACCCTGGACCATGTGAAAACATGTGGAATCTGACAACATGTTGGGCTGACAGGGCCTCCCAGCTGGCAAGCCCAAATGAGCCAATAAAGACGACCATCCTGGTTCTTGGGAAATGGCCTTGCAACAACCACAAACGCGCGCATGTCATCAGGTAAAGTAGGGGTACTTAGTCATCAGGTTGGAATGACAGTTCGCATGCAGTTTGCCTGGATTACTCTCTGACTCACTAACATGGAAGTGGAAAATGACCCCTCGGAAGACTATTTTCCTTTACAAACAGGAGGTTTTCCACTTCCATGTTAGTGAGTCGGAGTGTAGTTTGTTTTTGGTATCCTTCCTTGGTTGTCTATCATTCTTTCGTTCCTTGTGCCCGCAGCTCACGCTAGCGTCTACTGGCGTATGTCTAGCCACGCGTATGTCTTGACCCGCGTGGCAGACGGAGCTTCCATTTGGCTGATTTCCTCCACCGTTTTAAACAAAATTGCTGGAAGAAGAACAATCATGAAGAAAGCGCAGGTGCAACAACAACAACTCCACAAGAGAAACACAGACACATGTCACATATGAAACAAGAACTCCAAATTTACGAACGCAAAACATGCAAAAGCGGCAAAACTATCCCAAACGCAAGAAACATTAAAGACAAGTGAGAAGAAACATAACAAGCCCAACGCATCAAAAGACAACTGAAAGATAACAATCAACATAATAAGTCCTAACTGGAAGGTACCAAAAAGACAGCGCCTTTTTCGGCCCGGTCCCTTATCCAGTAGCTGCAGCTGTTAGAGTTTAAATCGATCGAAAGCTACCGGTAGGAGTTCATATCCAGTCAGTGGATAACCGGATGACACCCCGCTAAACAAGAACAGGTAGAAAAAGGTTATCCCTTGAGTCAGATTTGTTCCTTTTCCTTTCCTTAGCAGAAAGCCTGGCCTTTCCTTTGGTTTTCTTTAGAATCCTTTTGAAATGGGATCAGCACTTTTCATTTCTTGGCAGCTCTTGGTACTTAGCTGCAGCCTTCGTTTTGGATTTGTTTCCGTTGCTTGATGATGTGCTGTTGTTGTCTAATTTGTCCTCAGACATTTCAGTGTTGGCCTGGGTCTGGAGATCATATCATTTGCCATGTTGGGCTTCTTGGAAGCGTGCACGAGCTCACATGCCGTTAATGAAGTTCATCAATATGATCTTCTTAAGTTAGCCAGTCAGCTGCCCCTCCGAGGCACCGTTTACGCATACTTCAAAGCCTGTGGCTTTCGATGCGCTTATCAAACCATTGCCGATCAACATGGTTTTCAAGGCAGCTTTCCCGCCTATACCACTTGGGCAGGTTGGGCTTCTGGTGACTACATGGCCACTTGCGACCATATCTTCATTTCCAAGGGAATCGAAGTGTCTTCCGTTCTTTGGCAGTGATTGGTAGTATTACGTCTTCGGACTGGGCCCCGAGAGTCCGGTGATCTGACCATCGAACATCGAGTCTCCCAAAAAAAGACTGGTCTTCCAAGAGAGGTTAAGTGACCTTATAGGACCCTACTGGGGTACCTATGGGATAGCCTATAGGGTCATTCAACCTCTGTTGGTTCCCAGATTCTGGAGAAGGGATTTGAGGGCCCAACCGCTGGAAAAGTGCTGCGGGTGGTGCTGCGGGCTCATGCTCACACCGCGGGGGGGGGAAGCGTTCGCTTTTAATGGGTTTCGCTGGTTTTGGCGACATCAGGTGCTCAATGTCCCGGAGGTGGAAGACGTGAAAGCCTTCCCCGAACGCTTACCTTCTGAAGCATATCCATCAGATCACATGAGCTTGGTCGCCGACCTGCTCGTGCCCTGAAGGGCAAAGCGTGCTCCAGCGGGATGACCGAGCGACTGACGGCGACGTGCGGCGACGTGCGGCTGCGCGGAGAAAGGAGCCCGGAGCGAGTCTTCAGCTGACTGGAAGAAGGGTGGCTTGAAAGTGATGGAGATGGCTTAGTTACCTGTTACCATGATTCACTGGTGAACCCTACGCTCTAAGATGAACGCCTGATGCGCTGCTGGGTGAGACCCATGCTGAGAGGCGAGAGCACCAGCGGTTGGTGACTGCGCAAGGACTGGATGATGATGATGCAGGATCCACTATACTGGTGCCGCGAGTTTGGAAGTGCTGCAAAAAGGCGTGCTTGCTAAGTTCAGGAACCTTATCATTTATTAAGACTTTTGGAACTATATGCACTTCATATGTTTCAATTTTCTCAAATGATATACGTATAGTAATGATATGATTTGAGTTGTCGGACTGGCTGAAGTCTATGAACGATCAGGAGCAATCTACTAGTCTTGCTCGGTCCTTGTGACGCTCTCAGCGGTTTTCTTGATCCTCGAGTGATCCTCAACTGAGGCTTTGGCTTGTGCGGGCCTTGCGTTGAGCTGAACTTGGTGCATCGAAGTCATGCGCAGGCCAGTTCTCTGGGGCAGATATATACTGGTGAAACTGGTGAAACCCATGTGAAACCCAGTTCCGCCGCAGCCCGCGGCCCGCATTTCACCGACCCCCCATCACATGGATATGTTCAATGGATGCTCACTCGTACAGCTCTTTTACAGCTCGGCAGTGATGACATGGTTTTGCCACTATATATATATATGCAGTTGCAGATGGCTGCATCGCTCACTGTGACAGCTTGGCCCCACATGAATCTCGGGTCGCGCCATGGTCCACCCGAAAGTCAATGACTTCTCGATTAAAAAACTCAATCTTCCATCCAGTGAGCGTTTCAATATTTGTTTCAAAGAGTTCCACCGTTTTCTCAGACATGGGCAACTGAAGCCCCAGGTCGAGCTCATGGAGTCCTTGCTTTTTGGCTGCAGAACTAGCCTTCTCCGTATCGAGCAGGTAGATGCCCGGGGCATGTGCTGTTCGTGCAACGCTTTTCGTGCCACGTTTTGGACTCGGACCTCTTCTCTCAAGGCTGATGCCGAAATCGGCCGAACATGGCAGACTGCACCGGGGAATTTCTATACCGTCCCATGTCATGATGACACCACAATGGCGTGGCATGGGAGTTCGAAGCCCCATACCCATAATGCAAACGTCGTATTAATCAACGGCCCCCCCCCCTAGAAGGTCAACAAGCTCAACAAGGTCTGAGATTGGAGGTTTTGGAGATCACATCCCCCCAATAGTGGGGATGACCTGATGATGAAAGGGAATTAGTATTTGGAAGAATTGGACTGAAATGGAATTAGTATTTGGAAGAATTGGAATGAAAGGGAATTAGTATTTGG